CCCATGTAGGCTGGGCATCCGGGGGGCTCCATGTGACTATCTTTTCCCTTGTAAATCCAAAACTTATATGTATAGCCTGTAGCCCTCTCACAGGTCTTATACATTTTGACTCCATATGTAGCACGCTTGCTGGGGAGAAATTGAATGCAAGGCAACCAGAAAAATTAATGAGGGACTCATCAACACAGATGTTTTGCTGGGGAGTATAGACATCTGAAAATTTTTGGTAAAGGTGATTTACGAGGGGCCGAATTTTGTGGAGCCGGTCAAATTCAGGGTCACCCTGAGGACGACAGAGTGTGTTGTCATTGAAATGCATAAAACGCATTATACTCTCATATCTATGCCTGGCCATGGCAGCAGAGAACATGGGCATATAATGAATCGTGTCTGTGGACCAATACAACCGCAATTAATTTTTTTAGTAATGCCCATGTTGAGGGTTAGGCCCAAAAAAACTTTAAATTCGGAAACCGTAATTGGTTTCCATGCGAATGGTCTGACAAGGTTTGAATTTTGGTTGGTGGCGATAAACTGTTGTGCATATAAATTGCTTGGATCCACAATTAATGCATACAGATCTTCCGTGAAAAACAGCTCCAAAACAATTAAGGGCAGTATTTAAATTTGCTGTTTCCACCTGAATTCTGGGTTGGGCAGTGAATGGGGGAAGTACGGGTGCTGCAGAATTTGTAGGCTGCCAGTCAGGATTTGCAAGGACGTCCGGAAGGATACTAGCGGCTCTACAGACCTGTGTGCGAATTCTTGGTGGCTGCGGGACACTACTTGTGCTCGCCACCGCACCAGCTTGTACTGCACTTATGGGACTCGCCACATCACCAAGTGATACTGGTATGTGAAAGAGCAGAATGTACTAGCCGCTGGTGCTCGCCAGTTCACCAAAAGGTAAAGCCACACTAGTACTGGCACTCTGCTGCATGAGAGTCATCATTCGATTGTAACATCTCAGCAACCTGGGAACGGGGTCGGGTACGCCTGATCTTATTAGGGACCTCTTCTTCATTATCTGAGCTATCTGTCAGGGTTCCGCTGCTGTCTACAGGTTCATATTCTGAGGCTGATTATGTCAGGGAGTCTTCCCCTTCGCTCTCACCTGACATGCTCAGAATCCTGTTGTCTCTTCACTAGAGTACCTTTCGTTGGACATTTTGGCTACTAAATATATAGGTACCTAGTGCGACTCATGGGAAAAAGAGCACATGGCTGTCAGGGACTGCTTGAACCGCTACAAAAAAATTTACCTGCAAGTGTTATCAGAGATCAGGCCTGATTCTGCGAACACTGCAGTTTTGTGTGCAATGTATCAAGTAACAGTGATCTACTGACACTGCACTTGCTGGGGGAGAAGAGGGGGGGGTAAGCGTAGGGACTAAACGCAGGTGCTGGGGCTGATCCCGCTAACGCTGTGTTTTTGGGGATGCTATACTAATGTGAACGTTGGTATAGTGCTGATCTGATTAAAGTTATTGATCCGTTCAGACACTATACTAGCAATGAAGGTTTATTGTGTAAGTGAGCATGTTCCTGGCAATCAAGAGGTTAAATGTGATTACTGGTGTACTGATCTGATGCTATCTGGGAGGGGCACGAAAACTGCGGGAGTGCGAATCACATATATATACGTGATTTTGCGCACCCGTGCTGCCCTGTAGCAGTATTTCTGCTATAGGGCAGCGCGGAAGCGGTTAATGTTGCATTAAGGCAGTGTGTTTCTCAACTCCAGTCCTCATGGACCCCCAGCAGGTCATGTTTTCAGGATTTCCCTCAGATGAAACAGCTGTGGTAATTACTAAGGCAGTGAAACTGATCAAATCACCTGTGCAAAATAATGGAAATCCTGAAAACATGACCTGTTGGGGGTCCATGAGGACTGGGATTGAGAAACACTGCATTAAGGAAACACACAATGGGCTTCCTAATACACCACAAAGGATCAAGAATTGTGCATGCAACATTTCTGACATTGCCGCCCAGCACACTGGCAAGGTGTGTAAGGATGCCTGTACGAATAAAAGGCAGTGCTTCGTACCAATGCACCTTACCATAGCGCACTGTGCGAAAGGGCAGTTAGGCTGGACTCACACCATTGTACTGTGGTAATGCACCTTACATGCACTGCAGTGCCATTCATTTTGAATAGAATCTACATGCAGTGCACTGCAACACCATTCAGTTTGAATAGAATCTACATGCAGTGCACTGCAACACACAGTAATTTACTACCATGCATTGTAATTATTATTATTATACAGTATTTATAAAGCGCCAATAGTTCGCTCAGCGCTGTACATTACAAAGAGGGACAGAACATGTGACCGAACAATACCAATACAATGCAAAACATGAGGGGATTGAGGGCCCTGCTCTTTCGAGCTTACAATCTAGGAGGGAGGGGATAGTGGTACAGGAGGAGATAGCTGTGGGGGATGGAGTGGTAGGAAGAGTGGAGGAGGTCGGCAAGTTAGCAGGGGGTGGGGTAGGCTTCCCTGAAGAGATGGGTTTTCAGGGTGCGCCTAAAGGAGAGGAGAGTAGGTGATAATCTGATGGGTTGGGGCAGGGAGTTCCAGAGGATTGGTGACGCCCTGGAGAAGTCCTGGAGGCGGGCATGGGAGGAGGAGACCAGGGAACTAGAGAGAAGGAGGTCTTGTGAGGAGCGGAGTGTGCGTGCTGGGTGGTACTTGGATATTAGGTCAGTGATGTAGTTTGGGGCAGTATGGTGGACAGCTTTGTACGTCAGCGTTAGGATTTTGAATTTGATCCGTTGCGCAATCGGAAGCCAGTGGAGGGATTGGCAGAGGGGGGTGGCGGAAACGGAGCGGTTGGAAAGGTGAATGAGTCTGGCAGCCATATTCAGGATCGACTGAAGCGGGGATAGCCAGCGGCGAGGCAGGCCAGTGAGGAGGGAGTTGCAGTAGTCGAGTCGTGATATGAGGGAGCGGGTGAGCTGTTTAGTGGTTTCTGGGGTTAGGAACGTGCGGATTTTGGCGATGTTGCAGAGGTGGAGTCTGCATGAGTTAGTTAAAGATGGGACTTGGGGCTGGAAGGATAGGTTGGAGTCCAGAATGACACCAAGTACTCTGGCCTGCGGGGCGGGTTTGATGGTGGTGTTGTTGGATGTGATGGAGAAGTAAATGGGGGGTGGTGTCCGGGCTGGGGGGAAGACAAGAAACTCGGTTTTGGAGAGGTTCAGTTTAAGGAAGTGGAGCGACATCCAGTCTATGTCGCTCAGTAGGTGTGTGATTCGGGCGGAGACCGAGGGGGTGAGGTGGGGGGTTGAGAGATAGATTTGTGTGTCGTTGGCATAGAGGTGGTAGTTGAAGCCGTGAGAATGTATGAGTTGGCCAAGGGAGAAGGTGTAGATGGAGAAGAGAATGGTGTGCTATGTCAGAAAATTAATTGTGGATATTTATTTCACTCAACTCTGGGGCATTGGCAGCCTATTCAAGATGATTAGGCTGCCTTGACCCAATGCACCATAGCAGACAGATCTGAATGGGAACTTATTGTTGATCTCAATGTTGTTTAAAGGAGAAATCAAGGTTAATGTTTTAAGAAAGCCCTTTTAGTCTTGTATGGTTGGCAACATTTCACAAATATTGAATTCATTTTTAACTACACCTAGTATTTATCAGTAAAAACTTAATTATGCATTTAGCCTTTGTACAGGGCTCAAGAAGGTTATCCAATTACCACATATACTGGAAACGTTCCTATTTGGCAATAGTTTAGCCTATGGTTCTCTAATGGGTACAAAAGTAGCTAAAATACTTGTCTTTATGTGAGCACCTGTGCTCTGGACATACTGCATATTGCCTTTAACATTTATTTGAACAAAGCACAAGGTTCACTTAATCTCCTCCCCTTCTTCCAGACAACTCCCTATAAAACAAAAGCACAAAGAGGGCACCTCCATCGGAGTGTATACTGTATGACAAGCAGCATAAAATAAATTAATGCACTCACATTTTGAGAAGACAAGTGAACATATCATCCATCACAGAATTAACATTGACTAGCAGGGGTAAGCAGGCAAGTGGGACAAAAGCAGAAAAAGAGGCACATCTGTATTGAAGAGGAATTGTGGTGTGCTAGCTTCCGGCAAGCGGCAGCTGGCCTTTATACAGAGCTCGGCAGAGAAGCTGGATTGCTGGGCAGGAAGGCTGTGCAAGCTGTCAGGCTGGTGTGGAACACAAGCCAGTTTCTGTGATTAGGCGGCTTCCTGGAAATTTCGGTAATCCTCGGGAGCACTCGGTGATGACATCAGCGCCTTCTTTGTGCTTTTCTGTTTTATATGTGTATTAGGTTACTCAAGACCTGCTTTAGGGGGACTGCCACCTTTTCTCCGAGTGATTATTATATTGATTTAACACTTCCTCCCCTTTCACTTATTATACAAGATTTATATAGCGCCATCAGTTTGCTCAGTGCTTTACAAAATAAAGGGAGACAATACAGCAACACTACAAGAGGGTTAGGAGGGCCCTACTCCTTGGAGCTTACAATCTACTTATCCTGGTGCGGCTACAGAAGCGCCATAGTTTATTACACCTTTCTTAGCCAGTATGTATTCCCTACCTTTTCCTCCCTAGCTGCTTCTTTTAGGTGCTGAAGAAAATAACTGTTTGAGCCAGGTCGTAGCCTACATAGAGCTATGGATTACTTGTTTGAATAGACAGAAGCACCAGCTATTTCCCATAACTACAGGGGAGCAAATGAAAGGCAAGTACATGTTGTTGGGTTGGAGGGACAGTCCTAGATGTGCAAAGCACTGACTTGCTGTAAGCACAAGTGCTGAAATAATTGCTCAGATGGACACATTCACACAAAAGTGTTCAATGCCAGGCAGAAAACTATAGGGTAAATAATATAACAATCTTATTAATGTCCTGCCTTACTAATGTAGAAAGATTTTTTGCTGTGTTTTATATTGGTTGTACAGTGTTAGAATGACAATCTTCTGGTTGTTTTTCTCTGTGTAGATTCCATTAGCATTGGTGTCACTGGCATTGGTTTAGGTATTGGCAGTTCATCAGCCATTTCAGTGCAATGGAGCCATTCGGTCTATGAGCGGAAAGATGACAGGGAAGAACTACACTCAGGTAAATGTTAAAGTATTTATTGTTTTAAAATAAAGACCCTGTTTAACAACTGCCAATTCTGACATTTCTCTCCTGCATTTATTATAGGTACTTATATAGCGCTCAACAGTGATTTAATCGTGTGTCCTTCCAAATAACCCTTCAAATCTATAATATACATATCAATTCTTCCTAAAAGTGCTCCGTGCTCAGTAGAATAAAGTGACAGGTTCTCTTTAAAAATGTGCTCTTAAGTCTTTATTTTCTGGCATACGCCCAAGTTCCCTTTTCCTTGCTGATGTAGTTCTGCTGGTACATGCACTTTTAAGAAGAATTGATGCATATATTATGAATTTGAAGGTTTATTTGGAAGGACACTGTTGAGCACTGTATAGAAATATTTCTTTTTAGTAATAGTGTATCACACTTGAACAGTTGCACCGTTAATTATAGTTTGTTTTAGTTGTATAGAGCCATAAGCACGCTTCACGTTTTATTTTCGGTCATTTATATAGCGCTGTCAATTTACGCAGCGCTTTACATATACATGCACTGCTCAATAAAATTAAAGGAACACTTTAAAAACACATCAGATCTCAATGGGGAAAAATCTCATGCTGGATATCTATACTGATATGGACTGGGTAATGTGTTAGGAACGTAAGGATGCCCCATCGTTTGATTTTCAGGGTGTCTTTGAATTCAGTCCTCTGTAGGTTTAATTTTCATTTCCATTAAAGTGCAAAAATGATGCAACAGGCTAGTCCATTTTGCTGAAACTTCATTGCAGCAACTCAAAATGCTACTCAATAGTTTGTATGCCCCCCCCCCCGTGCTTGTATGCATGCCTGACAACATCAGGGCATGCTCCTAATGAGACAACGGTGTCCTGGGGTATTTCCTCCCAGATCTGGACCAGGGCATCACTGAGCTCCTGGCCAGTCTGAGGTGCAACCTGGCGGCATCGGATGGACTGAAACATGATATCCCAGAGGTGTTCTATTGGCTTTAGGTCAGGTGAGTGTGGGGGCCATTCAATGGTATCAATTCCTTCATCCTCCAGGAACTACATACTCTTGCCCCTGACATTGTCATGCACCAGGAGGAACCCAGGACCCACTGCACCAGCACTGAGGTCTGACAATGGGTCCAAGGATTTTATCCCGATACTTAACAGCAGTCAGGGTACCATTGTCTAGCCCAGGGGTGGGCAAACTTTTTGACTTGAGGGCCGCAATGGGTTCATATATTGGACCTGGGGGCTGGACCAAGAGTAGATGAATGATGTGTATGTGTCATCCATAGTAAGTATAGTAATATTCCCCCATATAGTAATTCATCCCCCCATAGTAATTCATTCCCCATATTAAGCCCCCAAGTCCCCCCTGTGTCAATTCACTTACCTTTACACCGCGCGTTCCTCTTGCCGTGTTTCTGCGCCGTTCCGGTGTAGCATGAAAATCTGTCTCCTATGAGGATCTGTCCCCCTCGACGTATCTGCGCATGTGCCAGTTTCAGGCATTAGCAACCGATCGGCGATCTCCGGCACATGCGCAGATACATCGGGGGAAAGATCCTCATAGGAGACAGATTTTCATGCTACACCGGTCTTCAGGGTGGACTGTGAGAGGAGCCTAGCTCCGCCGGATTAAAAGGTCCGCCGGGCCGTAGTTTGCCCATTGCTGGTCTAGCCTGTAGAGGTCTATGCATCCCTCCATGGATATGGTTCCCCAGGCCATCACTGACCCACCACCAAAATGGTCATGTTGAACAATGTTACAGGAAGCATAACGTTCTCCAGACCCTTTCACGTGCTCAGGGTGAGTCTGCTCTCCTCTCTGAAAAGCACAGGGCGCCAGTGGCCACCTTTTATGAAGTCTGTTTCTGATTGTTTGGTCAAGAACATTCACACCACTGCACAAAAAATGGCAACCATCCCAACCTATAATCAGCCTTAGCAGTAATGTGCACATGGAAGGGCAATGCACACTGCAAACAAAGGATTTCCCAGCAACACTTATCAGCCAGCCTGCAAAACTACTAATTTGGCCCTAATTTGAATAAAAAAACCAAGGGTTTTGTTTGCACACGTTTGCAAATACATGTGTAATCCACAGTTCCATGTCAAGGATCCTCTGTATACTGTGGACCTAACTAAAATTTCCAAAGCCTCCATCGTAGGAGCACATGTATCAATGGATAGGTTAAGGGCAGATGTGCCTGGAGGAGCCCATCCCTCCTTACAAAGGTACAGGGACGCACAAGACACCCAGCTATACCATAATAACAGCAAAGGCATCCAGTGTGTCCCTGCATCCAAATTAGTTGGGACGGTTGCCATTTTAGTTGGCGAATTTGGCTTTTATTCCCATCACAAAAAATGTAAACATCCCTTATAATAAACTAAGATATGACCGATCCTCTTTATGGAGACATCTCTCCTCTACCCTGGAAAGCATGAGATCAAATTAAAAAAAGAAAAAAAAAAAATTCAGGCTTTCCAGAAAAAAATGGCAATGTTTACATCTGCCAGAAGTGACATCATGATGCCATCTCTGGCTTCACAGGACCATAAAGATGGCCATGGACCAGATGGTCAGCTCAGTGATATTTCGGCAGCATTGCTGGATTGGATGCTGGACATCCCGATCGCTCGGGAAGCCCAGAGAGGCGCTGCTATTCAGTCAAAGGTTGCCTGTAAAAGCAATCTAGCGGCTAATAAGCCATTAGGATGGCTTTTACACTGTAGGGAATAATTGGCTGAACAGAAAGAGATAACTGCAGGCATCATCTTAGTATAACCACTGAAAGTTCAGAACGTCATATGATGTCCTTTGGGTGGCAAGTGGTTAGTAAATTGCAGCTTTTTGCCAGTTACCCAGAAGTAACCACAGAATATTGATCTGTTTTAACTTATTTTCTTCTGTCTATTATGGACTAGCTAGTTGGTGTTTTAGATGTCACTCACGTGTATTGAGTGTAGAAAACTAACTGTAGTTTTTGTGTTTTTTTTAATTTTAGGTAACCCATTTCATCTAACACTCAAATCTCAAAGTCATCGTGGAGCCCTTGCAAGAAGCAGACAAGGACTATAAATAGACTAATTCATGGCATATGGGGTTAGTCCCAGGATAAATATATAACTTAGTGGATGCCAAATTGTGGAACTGTGTACAGCCCAGCTTATGAATGGTAGTACTGTCACTTGTGGCTTAAGCTCTGACAGCTAGTGAATCAAATGTTAAACCAGTACTATTAGAGTGCTTCCTCAGTGACACTCCACTAGCTGCTACATCAAACATACATCTATGCTCAGGATAGTCTGTTTTTTTTTAGAAATATGTATGGTCAAAGCTAAAACACTTTTCTAGACAGATGCTATAAATGGGTAGAGGGAGTTAAAAAGAAAATGAGAATTCTGGTATTATATGGTCAGAGTAATACTGGCTTACTTGTGAAAAACACGTTCGAAATCCTTCTTGGTGTACCTCTCAGATCACAAAACTCACTGTTGCCCAGCTAGAAGGCTTGAGCGCAAATAAGTTTGTTCATGTAAAGTGAACCTGTACTTTTCTTAGGCAGGGTCAATCAACAAGTTCACTTATTCCTGCTCTCCCTTTTCTTTCTTCTATCCCTTAACAGCAAAGCCACAAATTATTTTTTAAAAATGCAGGTTGGCACATTCCTGTTTCCCTCAATGGATGTGACCCTGCTTTGTGTCTCTTTAAATTCAGCTGGTGACGACATTCAGGGAAGGTTAGTATATGCAGTAGGAGATAGTTTAGGTGAACTGGTTACTTTGTCCTGAATGAGGAAACAGGTTCAGTTTCATTCAACCAAAGTCATTTGGGTTTGTTAGCTGAGCCAAGTTGGCCATGTCTACTTTTTTGTGACTCCAGTGCCAAGATCTACAATGGGAATTTTCAGTTCCACCTTGTCACCTTCATTACAAAGCCAGAAGGTGTCTTGCACCTCTAATATGGAATTAACAAGTAAATGTGTCCAATTGGGAGAAAATGACTTCATTACAATGTTGTGGAAGGGGGGCAGAGACTCCTACAACTGTTGAGAAATCGCAGAACTGGAATTGATAGATGGAGTTCAACAGCTACAGCTACCTGCAACTTATATAGTACAAAAAATTTTCTGCTTGGATAAGAATAGGAGAGCTGCTAGGGGAGACAAGCCATTGTAGTAAATAGCTTGATGAGCTGAGACTTATGTGTAAGAGAACACATTCCTCTAGTCCAGGGGTCTCCAAACTATGGCCCTCCAGCTGAAGTACTACAAGTCCCATCATGCCTCTGCGAATCTTGTCTGTGGCTGTCAGGGTCTTGCAAGACCTCATGGGACTTGCAGTTCAACACTTGGAGGGCCACTGTGTGGAGACCCCTGCTCTAGTCTGATTTCCAGGTGTGGTTTTTGTTTATTGTACATTGTTAGGGCGCCATTCAAAAGGAATGTCAATGCAACAGCACAAGTGCAAACATAGGCTAAAGCTGTACAAGTAGTAGGTGCTACTTTAAAGGCCAGTTCACCTTTTGGAACATGCTCCGGCTCCTGCAGCCTCTCCCACCAGTGCTGGTCTGTGTGAAAGTAGGCAAAGGATCTTCTCCCTGCACCTGCTGTCACAATTCATACCACTGCATCACTCATCCACAAATTCCTGTGAATTAATAATCTACAAGTCCCATCAGCCATTGCAGCTGACAGCTTGTAGGTGTGAATGATCAGCGCTCTGGTGGTTCATTCACAAGCCTTGCAGCATTGAAACTGGCAACCCCTATGAATGTACAGGCTGAAAGTTGCTGGGCTTGTCTGCAAGCCTGAGATTGCACCCCTTATCACGGGTGCAATGCTTTCTAGGTTCCTGCTGGGAAAAAAAAAAATGCCCATTTGTCATTGTGCATTTATTTTTTTTTCTAAAAAAGTGAACTTATCCTTTAAAAGCAGTGGTCTCCAAACTGCAGCCCGGGGGCCAGATGTGGCCCTTTGCTTACTTTTATCTCTCGGGGCATTATTTTTCTCCCCACTGATACCAATGACAGGACACAATTCCTCTCAAAGACACCAACAATGTGGCTAATTGACATCAACGGTGGGGTACTATTCCTCCCACTGACACTAAAGATGGGGCATTGTTTATTCCACAGAAGTTTGGACCTTTTCTACTGCAAAAAGTCCAGCCCTCCTAAGTCCGAATGACAGTAAACTGGCCCTGTGTTTAGAAAGTTTGGAGACCCCTGCTTTAAAGCAAAGTTTTCCTGACACAGACATGGAGAGTGCTGTTGCCGCTACTTTTTTGGGTGTCAAGTTTACACTCTTACTTCATTACTTTGTTTCCTTCCCTCAAACAAGTATGCAAATAAGGATGTCCATATTTACAGACAGACATACATAAACACACGTCAGTAGCGGACACCTTATTAAGCAGTTGGTGTACCAGTTATGTATTCCCAAAAGGTGTTTTGCCATGCTGTGAATTCCAGCAGCAGGAATCAGATTCTTACAGGTGGGATTGACAGCTGAATGCAGATAGCAGCGGCTACCCTGCCTGTACACTGTGATGACAGGCTGTTGGTGGCTACAGCTGTTTGTGCCCGTTAGCACAGCCAGCCATCACTTGCTGGGATTCGCAGTGTGGCAAAACACCTCTGCAAATGGTGCCTTAGACAAGTAGCATCTTCAGAAGAGAATTGGCAAGGACAACCACCTTAAAATTTTTTCCTCTAGCTGGAAGAGGATTGAGCCAAAACAAAGGCAGAAGGACCGACTCTTGAAAAAAAAAAGTAATTACTGTATGTACTAAAAGATATTAAGTTTGCTATTGCTGACCTGCTGAAAATGTTAATTACCTGGCTGGCTCTGGTCACATAGTCAGCACAAGCAAGTCAAGTCAGAACACTTGCTATAAATGTGTGTTGCACCTCAGTGATTGAAAGTATTTAAGCTTTTTGATAAGCATAAGAACTGAGCAATTTGCATTTCAAAAAGTGAAGCTAATAAAGCTAAAATATTTTTGGTACAGACTCAATCCTAGATAAAAGGTCATGACACCTGAAATTATGTCCCTCCCTTGCGGTTTAAGAAAAAAAACACAAAAACACTTTGCTGGTGTTAGATATTGGTTGTTTTTTTAGCATTTGACTGGCTATACCATTTATAGCATTATATTTGTGTCCTACTTAGGAGTAACTAACTTTCCCCTTACTGTCAATGGTTGGAATTCAGTCATTTACACTTTTTCTAGCAGTGAAAAATCTTTTACATGCCATGCCAAATAAGGAAATTGTCATTACATGTCAAATTTTATGGCTTTAGAATATGTACTTGCTAACACCTTTTATTTTTTTGTTACCCCAACCATGTAAATATGTATTTTTTATAAATAAAAATGCTTTGCAATTTCTGTAACACTTAGATGTTCAATCAACAATGGTACAACCTATTAAGTAATTGCTGAACTTAACCCTGCTACAGGGGGGCAAAAAAAAAAAAAAAAAAAAAAAAAAAAAAAAAAAAAAAAAAGGAGCTTAAACAATCTATAGTGGGAAAATCCTTAAAGTTGCTGCGCTACTTTTATGGAGTTAATCCCTTGTTAACGTATTGTTCTAAAGTCATGAAGTATATACGACACTTGGTTCTGACAGCAACTCATGCACCAAATTCAGGTAGTTTTAACATACATATACAATTTACATCGTGGCGGAGTGAATGTGCCAAATTCAAAATAAAATACAGACAGTTAGTTCGTATCTAATGAAAGTGGAGCTATTCAAGACCAAATTCTCTATTTTGCATAGAGAGAAACTGGCGCAGACAGATTTTGCGAAAGTGTCTCCTGCATTCTAAAGATGTTGCAGTATGCGCCAAATTAAAGTACACGTTCTAGACAGGTACAGAAATGTGGCACATGCTCCACCACTTTTTAGAACGCATGAGAGACACTTGTCTGCGACAGTCTTTATGATTTCCAGGTATAGGAAGCCAAATGGAAAGCAGAAACAAGTAACATTTTCAACAATTTTATTGAAAAAACAAGTGGAATCAGTTCCAAATATTAACAGTTGCACGTCACTATAAAGCTTTTAAATTACGTAAGAGAAACTAAGTACACAATTCCAAAAATGTGCCATACTGAGAGAAGTGCTTTTTTTTAAAAAAAAATACAGTCCACTTAAAAGATCTTTACATGTTTTTGGGGACTTGATTACAAAAGGGAAAAAACAAGGGAAGTGCCAAACAGCAACTTCAGTTCCAAGTTCCAGCTGCAGTTTAGAAACTGTACCATCCAATCAGCTGCCATCTTTGATACAGATCTTTTCTTTCCCAATTTTATAAAATAATCCACACAAAAAGGCAAAACGTTAGAATGGCTTAGTACTGCACCTGACTAATTCTTCAAGCAACAACCTCCCTACAGGGGGTAAACAAACATGTACACAACATGATATGAATAACTAATCAATATAGTTAAACTCTACTGTAAGTCTCACACATTCCCCAACAAGTTCTGTGATCTTCTACTTCCACACTGGTATTTAGAGGCTTGCTGAAAGAGAGGAGGAGACAAACAAGATAAAAAGTACAACAGAATTACTGTGTCTGATGTCAAAGCATTTGAAATATCTATTTGTATGTAACAAAACATCTAAATATCACTTTTTCCCTTTTTTTGTCCCTGTGGGTTTTTTCCCCCCTTTTTTGGAATTGTTGCAGTATTTTGCTTCCAATTGTGCCATAAAACCATCAAGTTCCTTTTCTCGATCCTTCTGTTTTTTCTGGAGAACAAAAAAAAAAAATTTAGCAAAACATACATTTAGTAAGCAAACCTAAGATCCAAGGGTCCCGTGTTCCTTACTTGAATTAAAGCTTTTAAGTCATCATCTTTATCACCTAGGCCCAATTCCTGTTTCATTTCTTCTGCTTCTTGGGCTTCTTCAGCAGCCTAAAATATACAGTATGTACAGGTTGTATTCAAAGAAACATTGGGAACACAAGCCAAACAAGTCCATGCCATGGGTACATTAAAAAGCAATCATTTTTCCACTTCTATCGTTAAATTTTTTGTGCAGCAGAAAACCTGAACACCCTCCTGAGCTGGAAGCTGCGAATACAAAGGACTGCAGACTTGGCCATTGCTCCAAAATAACAGCAGTGATTGGAATTGAGATGTTCATAATGAAATGTGGTAAGGAGCAACTTGCACATGTTTACCTCAACATTGTTCTATGCCTGCTTCTTTGCATCCCAGAAGCATGAAGTGTACTCACTTCTGCTTAGTCATTCCACAACTGGATGTGCGAGTAGTACTTAAGCTGGCCATAGACGTTTCCAATCTAGGCTGGTTCAGCAGGGACCAGCTGAGATTCAAACCATGTATGGGCAGGCTGAATGTACCCAAGTTCATCAATCAACTTGGGTACAAACCAGCCTGTTGGATTTTACATGTAGTTATTGCTAATGGCTATTATAGCCAATACAGTAATCACTGTGTTCTGGCAGGGATGGCCACACAATGGCTCTGCAGGAGGGATTTCCCCCATCAACGCTGACTGTGTTGATGGGGGAAACAAGCGATTTTCTTTCCTGTAACCCGTGGTTGTAGGGAAGAAAATACTTAAGTCTTTGGCCAACTTTACACCTCCTTGGTCATACAGACAACTTCAGACACCATAGTTCAGCTCTGGGAAAGGCAATTTACGAATATGCCCTTAGCAAAGTTTTGCTGTGGATCTCAGCCCATATTTTCTTGTGGACAGACGGCATCTTTTCAGTCTGTTCCGGCAGCCTATGTCTAAAACACAGGTGCATGGAAAATGATCAGAGCACATGTTTATAGACACTTGTATCCACAATTAACTCCCCCTTTGGAGACAGAGCAATCTAAATATAGACATGAAAAGAAAAAAATGCGTGCAATTACCTGGATTAGGCAGCACTGGCAGAGTCACGAAAGAGATGGGAACAGAGTCTACTGAAGTTGTTCTTCATGTCTGAGTAACATACGAGAAAACTTGTCTGTGCTCACCTCTCCACTCTATTATACTGCCAGGCCAGACAGGTTGCACATAAGAAGGTTATTACATCATGTGAACAAGCCATTTTAAAATTAAAATGGTTAAATCTTTTAACTGCATAGAAGTTAGGTTAAGTAGGTCGTTTGAAAAACCAAACTGTGCTTAGCAACAGTAGTTGAGTATTTACAAATACTTGTATGTATCTATCTACACTTCAGCACACATTCTCCTCCTGTTATTCTGACAATTACAGCATTAAAAAGTGGCACACTGTATTCAGGCTGCAGAGATTAGGTTTCTAAATCAACCTCCAGCATGCATGTGATTACCATACTTGGCTTTCTTGATGAACACATGATCAAGAAGCATGCCGTCTGGTTCCCAATTAGTAAGACATGAAACAAATTTGATTGTGGGGTTTTAGAACTAGGTATGTTTGCTGAAAATCCTTACTTCTCACCTTGTGTTTGCAGCACAGGGCACATTTGCCTCAGAACATTAACAGCCAGACACCATGCGGTCCAGTTTTACTAAATAAATGGTTAAAACTTATTGCGTCCCCCCCCCCCCTGTGGACCTTCACTTTCTGTCCCAGAGACAAAATAGGATGTTAGAGGAAATCTTTAAGTTAAAAATTTTTCATTTTTTCCATTTTAAAGAACACTCGCTAGATTTAATAATCATTAGTGGGGTCACATCTACAGTTATTTTCAACCACAGTGACAACATTTGAAGGAGCAGGATAGAAAATTGCTAAACAGTGTATGCAGTTTTTGTTCAGTAAGGTCCATTTGGTCCAACATTGAATGTTAAAAGCAAACATTTTGACTTTAGCATGACATTTGTCAACTCATTGAATGTACTGAGAATTCTCATTAGAATGTTCAAACAAACATTAATTTGAAAATCTACTAGCGTACGGCCAGTTTTAGAATGCCATCACTGAAGAAAGTGTGCGGCTTACCCTTTTCCTGCGCTGATCCCGTTTCTTCTTAGATTCTTTTACAAAGCTATCGTAGGCTGGAACATCCTTCTTCTTAATGGCTTTCTGGATGATCTCTCTGATCCTTGGCTCATTTTCAATATCAGCAAATATTACAGAGTCCATTATGTTATCCATGTCTCCTTCAAAGTCTATATAAGCTTGTATAATATCTGTCCTCTCTTCATCGGATCCTCTGTACCTTTCTTCATATGCTTTGATATCGTCCACAGTTATCTAACACAGGAGAAAAGTCAATCAAAATAAGGTATTTTCATGTTGATCCAGATATGCTACAGTGAAAAGTGAATGCACCCTTAACCACTTCATGTCCGGACACTTTTACCCCCTTCTTGTCCAGGCCAATTTTCAGTGCTGTCAGACTTTGACAATTGCGCGGTCACGCAACACTGTACCCATATGAATTTTTTAGAATTTTTTTTTTAGAGAGATAAAGCTTTATTTTGGTATATTTATTCACCGCTGGAATTTTTATTTGTTTACTATATAAATGAAAAAGTCCAAGAAATTTGAAAAAAAAAATGTTTTTTCTTAAAAAATTTTGCAAATAAATAATCTTTCTTCATAAATCTTGCCCAAAATGTATTCAGCCATCTTTTTAGTAAAAAAAATAACCCAAATTAGTTTTATAACCAAAAATAATTTTTCAAAAACTTTTTTTACATTTGTACGTGTTTTTTTTTTTTAAACATACTGTCACCCTAGCAGTACAGTGTCACCATAGTGACACTTTACTAGGAGTGGGGGGGGGGGGGGAGATTTTTTTTTTTTTTTTTTTTTTTTGAACACCGATTGCTTTTACACCCATAAAGGCTGTAAAAGCAATGATTTCTCCTCCTCTCTGGCCGCATTCTTGCAGCGATTGAGAAATACTGCGTGAGCTGTGATTGGTCACAGCTTGACACATGGTACAAGGCTGTTGTAAATAGCCTTGTACCATGTGATCTCTGATTTCACAAATGGTGGGCGCAGTTTATGAACGGCAACCCGCTCCTGCACTGCCCCCGTCTGGTCGTTTATATGCAGCGGCCAGACGAGACGTGGTTATCCGCTTCCATACCGGGCACTTTTACCCCCTTCCTGCCCAGGCCATTTTTCATGTTTCAGCGTTCTCACACTTTGAATGACAATTGCGCGGTCATACTGCACTGTACCCAAACTAAAATTTTAGCATTTTTCTTCACACAACTAGAGCTTTCTTTTGGTGGTATTTAATCAACACTGGGGTTTTTATTTTTTGCTAAATTAACAAAAAAGACCAAAAAATTTTTTTTTAAAAAAAAAAACACGTTTCTTTTATAAAAGTTTGCAAATATATAATTGTTCTTCATAAATTTAGGCCAAGATGTATTCTGCTACATGTCTTTGGTGAAAATAACCCAAATTAGGATGCATTATTAGATTGTAGGAAAGTTATAGAGTTCACAAACTATGGTATAGATCTGAAGTACTGACAGCCAATCTAATTTCGTGAGGTCCAAGAATGTCAGAACAGTACAGATATCCCCAAATGACCCCTTTATGCAAAAGTAGACAGTCCAACGTATTTCATAAGAGGCATGGCGAGTTTTTTGAAGTTGTAATTTTTTGGTCAATTTTTCAGAAAATGAAAAAATTACACATTTTCACAAGTTTTTTTTTTTTTTTTTTATACATACTGTCACCAGTGCAGTACAGCGTCATAATATAACTGGCATGGCGGTGATCTTGGACACTGACTGGTGACAGCACGAAAAAAAAAAAAGTGATAATTTTTTTTTTGTTAGTTTTAATTTTATTTCATTTTTTTCTTTTTGGTCTTAGTGAAATATGAAAAGAAAAAAAAAAAAAAAAAAAAACTAAGTAGTATAATGTTACCATAGTAACATTGTACTACTTTGGGGAAGTGATCAGTATTTTTTTTTTTTTTTTTTTTTTTTTTTTACACAATTTGCTTATAGCAAATAATGACTTTGCTATAAGCAAGCATTTACCTGAATGACATCGATTCATTCAGGGATTTTTTTTTTGTGCTTAGCTGTGATTTGGCCACAGGTAATCACATGACACAGCTGGGCAGTGATTGGCCCAGCTTGTGCATGTGATCGCTGTGACCATTCACAGCTAGACACACTAGTATACAATGGATGGCATGAAAGGAAGCCTACAACTGTCATGTGACCTGCTGTGATTGGTCACAGCAGATCACATGGTACTGGAAACGGGGCCGGTACACAGATCTGTCATCGGCCGTGTCCGAGGTACACAGCCGGTGACAGATCGCGCCGCAGAGCGGCCCTGCGGGCAGGCGCAGTGCGCATGTCTGAAAGGACTCCATATGGTGTCCACCTGGAGGACGAGCTGCTCGCCCGGCCACCATCTGGCTATAGGCCGGACGGCAACTGGTTAAACATGAAAGTACAACATATCAAAACATTCAGCTCAGTACTACTAAAAGACTTGACATCCCTTGCTGGTTGGTTTGTGGATGCATAATAAAAGCGGTAAGATTGGGGGCACATGTTATTCCTTATTTTTTTATTATTTGAAACTTTACTTGCTATTGCATATGATTGTCTATAGAGATTGTTTTCAGTCAGTCAGACCTGACCCACAGAGTTGCACTAAGTCAGAAAAGTAAAGCACAGTAGCACTAAAAAAACAGGAGGCAAAGCCTGCATAGTGTGCAAATATGGCCTCTCCTACATGCATCTATACTCATGAGATACCTTGAACGTTTAGGTCTTCTTCAGAGGAGTGCTGGCTCCCATACTGTGTGAATGCAGAAGCCAATGGAAGCCAAGAAAGGATGCATATGCAGCAACTGCACAGACAGTTACATGTTAAAAGCTGATAGCCGAGTAGGGGCGCAGCCCTGAATGAAGACAGTGTATGCCTGCACGCAGCTGAGTGCAGATACAGACCCGAAAACAAATGCCTCCTGCATGCAGCATGGGTGCAGTGCCTGTCTGAACAGGGCCTTACTAAAGAAAAAGTAGTGTTGGGAAAAAAATAAACAAAAAAAAAAAAAAAAAAGAATTGCTCCAAAAAAGTGTGCCAATTTGGATATTTTATATCTGTATTATAAGTAACCTTTTTAAACAGCAAACGCCAATACTCCTCCCAGTTACGGTCTTGAGAAATTGCATCGGAGTCCTCATCCACAATCCCTTGTTCATCATAGACCGCTCGCTGCTCTTTGTCACAGAGAACTGAATACACTTTACCAAGGATCTGTAAATTGAAGGATATCCATTAGATTGGGGTTTAGGTAAGAATACAGCAAAAACACAGATAAAAGAACAAATGTTTGCATGTCACTTTCTTCACAGCTTGCAACACAGATCAAGTCAAAAACTGTTAGAGGATCTAACAAGGAAAATATCTGTAATTCCCAGCAATGTCCTGGTCCTGAATGCACCCAGGGAGAGTCTGGAGACACACACCCTCACAGATGCCATACTGAGACACAAGGGCTGTGCCTGTGCAGCTGCATCATATCACCTCTGTATACATCGTCCCGTCCCCCATATCGCCTCTGCATACATAGTCCCCCCCCCCCCCCCCGCACCATATCGCCTCTGCATACATAGTCCCCCCCCCCCCCCGCACCATATCGCCTCTGCATACATAGTCTCCTCCCCCCCCCCGCACCATATCGCCTCTGCATACATAGTCTCCTCCCCCCCCCCCCGCACCATATCGCCTCTGCATACATAGTCCTCCTCCCCCCCCCCCCGCACCATATCGCCTCTGCATACATAGTCCCCCCCCCCCCCCCGCACCATATCGCCTCTGCATACATAGTCTCCCCCCCCCCCCCCGCACCATATCGCCTCTGCATACATAGTCTCCTCCCCCCCCCCCCCCCCGCACCATATCGCCTCTGCATACATAGTCTCCTCCCCCCCCCCCGCACCATATCGCCTCTGCATACATAGTCTCCTCCCCCCCCCCCGCACCATATCGCCTCTGCATACATAGTCTCCCCCCCCCCCCGCACCATATCGCCTCTGCATACATAGTCCCTCCTCCCCCCCACCATATCGCCTCCGTATATCCTCTCCCCCCCCCCCCACCATATCGCCTCTGCATACATATCCTCCCCCCCCCCCCCCCACCATATCGCCTCTGTATATCCTCTCCCCCCCCCCCCCACCATATCGCCTCCGTATATCCTCTCCCCCCCCCCCCACCATATCGCCTCCGTATATCGCCTCTCCCCCCCCCCCCACCATAGTCGCCTCCGTATATCCTCTCCCCCCCCCCCCACATCGCCTCCGTATATCCTCCCCCCCCCCCCACATCGCCTCCGTATCTCCCCCCTCTCCCATACATATCGCCTCCGTATATCCTCTCCCCCCCTCCCACCATATCGCCTCCCCCCCCCCCCCCGCACCATATCGCCTCCTGCATACATATCCTCTACCCCCCCCCCCCCCTCCCCCGCACCATATCGCCTCCGCATATATCCTATCCCACCATATCGCCTCCGCATCCTCTCCCCCCCCCCCACCATATCGCCTCCGTATATCCTCCCCCCCCCCACCATATCGCCTCCATATCCTCTCCCCCCCCCCCTATCGCCTCCGTATATCCTCTCCCCCCCTCCCACCATATCGCCTCCGTATATCCTCTCCCCCCCACCCCCCCGCCACCATATCCTCTCCCCCTCTCCCATATATCGCCTCCTATATCCTCTCCCCCCCCCCCCCCACCATATCGCCTCTGTATATCCTCTCCCCCCCTCCCCCACCATATCGCCTCCGTATATCCTCTCCCCCCCCCCCACCATATCGCCTCCGTATATATCCTCTCCCCCCCCCCACCATATCGCCTCCGTATATCCTCTCCCCCCCCCCACCATATCGCCTCTGTATATCCTCTCCCCCCCCTCCCACCATATCGCCTCCGTATATCCTCTCCCCCCCCCCCACCATATCGCCTCTGTATATCCTCTCCCCCCCTCCCACCATATCGCCTCCGTATATCCTCTCCCCCCCCATCCCACCATATCGCCTCCGTATATCCTCTCCCCCCCCCCCCACCATATCGCCTCCGTATATCCTCTCCCCCCCCTCCCACCATATCGCCTCGTATATCCTCTCCCCCCCCCCCACCATATCGCCTCCTGTATATCCTCTCCTCCCCCCCCACCATATCGCCTCTGTATATCCTCTCCCCCCCTCCCACCATATCGCCTCGTATATCCCCCTCCCACCCCCCCCCATCCCACCATACTCCGTATATCCTCTCCCCCCCTCCCCCCCCTCCGTATATCCTCTCCCCCCCTCCCGCATATCGCCTCCGTATATCCTCTCCCCCCCCCCACCATATCGCCTCCGTATATCCTCTCCCCCCCCCCCCCACCATATCGCCTCCGTATATCCTTCCTCCCCCCCCCCCCACCATATCGCCTCCGTATATATCTCTCCCCCCCCTCCCACCATATCTCGCCTCCGTATATCCTCTCCCCCCCCCCCCATATCGCCTCCGTATATCCTCCCCCCCACCATATCGCCTCCGTATATCCTCCCCCCCACCATATCGCCTCCGTATATCCCCCCCCCACCATATCGCCTCTGTATATCCTCTCCCCCCCCCCCACCATATCGCCTCTGTATATCCTCTCCCCCCCCCCCCCCCACCATATCGCCTCTGTATATCCTCTCCCCCCCCCCCACCATATCGCCTCTGTATATCCTCCCCCCATCCTCCCCCCCCCCCCACCATATCGCCTCTGTATATCCTCCTCCCCCCCACCATATCGCCTCTGTGTATCCTCTCTCCCCCCCACCATATCGCCTCTGTGTATCCTCTCCCCCCCCACCATATCGCCTCTGTGTATCCTCTCCCCCCCCCACCATATCGCCTCTGTGTATCCTCTCCCCCCCCCACCATATCGCCTCTGTGTATCCTCTCCCCCCCCCCATATCGCCTCTGTGTATCCTCTCCCCCCCACCATATCGCCTGTGTATATCCTCTCCCCCCCCACCATATCGCCTCTGTGTATCCTCTCCCCCCCACCATATCGCCTCTGTATATCCTCTCCCCCCCCCACCCACCATATCGCCTCTGTATATCCTCTCCCCCCCCCCCACCATATCGCCTCTGTATATCCTCTCCCCCCCCCCACCATATCGCCTCTGTATATCCTCTCTCCCCCCCCCACCATATCGCCTCTGTATATCCTCTCCCCCCCCCCACCATATCGCCTCTGTATATCTTCTCCCCCCCATCACCTCTGTATATCTTCTCCCCCCATCATCACCTCTGTATATCCTCTCCCCCCCCCACAATACACACGCGGTGTGTCCCATCAGGATGAAGGCTCCGCTCTGACCTGGAACTTCAGCGTGGCCTCGTCCTTCTCCTCCTCGGACACCCGGTCCGGATGAACCTTCAGCGAGGTCTTGTGATACCCTCTTCGGATCTCCGCCTCCCCGGCCGTCCTCCTCACTCCGAGCACAGTGTACAGGTCGGAGCTCCCGAAGTATCGCTCACAGTTCTCCAGCAGTCCCGGCATGGTGCCGCCTTCCTTCCCAGTACACACAGATCCACAACACTGCACTGACAGCTTTTGGCGGGTCTTTCACAGCCAGCACCCTATTGGCTGAGAACTTTGTTGCCTTACCTCATTTCCGCTTCACGTTGAAAGCTTTATGTGTAGCAGAGAAGGCGGACACTAGTGTGCAGACTGTAGAATGGAATCCTGTGGGCTGTCAGAAGTCTGGGGACCATTGTGGAGGCTGGTGGGGGGAAGGGGATGATACAGGACCTCACAGCTCTGTAGTGTTTGTATAGTACAGGGGTAGGCAACCTGAGAGATGCAGGACTACAAGTTCCATCATGCCTCTGCAAGTCATAGCTGTAACTCAGTTTTGTAATCTTTGCCTCATGGGAAATGTAGTTCTACAACAGCTATAGAGCCACAGGTTGCCTGCCCCTGATATAGTAGAATAGATCGGACAGGGATTAGGATACCAGTACACACGGTACGATATATGAGCATCGGTATTCCTGGACCAAATTCAGGCATTTATTTGGTGGGTTTTGGCTTACATATTTGTACATACACGCACACAGAAGTAAAGTAAGTTCTGTCAGAATGTGTCATTCATATGTTTACGCCATGCCTGCATCTGAATCGCACAGGAATGTGCTGCGAGTTCATGTCCGATTTCTACCATGTGTATGACGCACTACATTTGCGATCTGCAGAGGATGTCAATAAAAAGTGAACCCCCCAAATGCAGTGCATTTGCCTGCACCTTGCCACAGCAGAGTGTAGGATACTTTTGTACCATGCGATCCGGTTGCAGTGCATTTTAAAAAAGGCATGCGCTACTTTTTGGTGCTGTTAAAATGAATAGGCTGAAATTGAACCGCATGTGAATCGCACAGGAATGGAAGGTAAAAACTTGGATAAACTGCTTTTCTTTAGCACCTCCACCCCCCCTTTGACCGAATGTTGTAAGCAGTGCTTGTTTGTTTCTTCATGTAAAACCTTTATCCCAAAAGGAAAATGAAAATGTTTGTTGTAACTGCTTATAAACCAGCATTTCTCAACCTTTTTTCAGTCAAGGCACCCTTTAAAATTCTGCCCAAATCTCAAGACACCCTAATCTAAAATGTAAAAACCTATTCTACACACATCCAGGACACCCAACATTAGAGGGGATTTATTCTTCCAAAGCAAATACCAGGGGCGGACTGACAACTCATGGGGCCCCCGGGCAATAGGAAATCATGGGGCCCCTGTGTCTTCACCCACACTCAAACCACACCCAAAAAAGCCTATGAAAGGTATCAGGGGCATCTCATGGGGCCCCCTACTGACCCTGGGCCCTCGGGCATTGCCCGAGTGCCTAAATGGTCAGTCCTCCCCTGGCAAATACACCTTTGCACACTGGTACTGACCAGGGGCAGACTGACCATTTTGGAACTTGGGCACTGCCCGAGGTCCCGGGGTCAGTAGGGGGCCCTATGAGATGCCCCTGGTATTTTTTCATAGGCTTTTTTGGGTGTGGGTGAGGACACGGGTCCCATGATCCCCTATTGCCCGGGGACCCTATGAGTTGTCAGTCCGTCCCTGGTACTGACTAGTATTCCAGTGTATCTCATTTTCTCTCCCTTACTCTGCTAATGTGACCTCAATGCTGACGGAGAGGGGCAGGGGAGGGCCAAACAAGGATGATGGGCATGCACCCGACATCCTCCTTATCAACTGATGATGTCATTGGTTGTTAGGATGCTGGCAGCTAGAAGGTTATAAAAGTGCACAATGAAATCTTATGGCTTTGTGTACTAAAAGGCAGAATTGATCCACCTGCTGGCTTGTATACAATTTTTGGGCATTTTGCCAAGACACCCCTGAAAAAACCTGAAGGCACCCTAGGGTGCCTGGGTACCCTGGTTGAGAAAGGCTGTTATAAACTATTATCTGGAGTTTAGTTTCAATCTGTTAGTCATGTCCATCTAAATCTGTTAATCTAACACTACCCTCTCCTCAGACTGACAATCCTACTGTCCAAAGGTGTCTCCTTTGATTCTTCATTCAGAGTGGAGACACAGTTATGCCCTAATTACACAATGAAAATATCGGATGAATGGTTGTCCATTTTTATTTTTGCTTGCTAGTCTCATATAAAAAATTAAGAGGTTCCGAAAATACTTGTTCAACAGAATACTACTTCAGAAGTGATGTAATGTATCCTTTTGTTTCCCAGCATGTCTGGTCTTGGTCTCATATTTTTTTCAGACGAATACTGTACTGATTAACCATTAGATGACTTGGCTACAGCTGAATGAGGGCTACAGTGCAGTTGTCTAGTTCTGGGAGGGCGTCATATGACACGCTCCAGAACCATGCCCTCTGGGGCACACACTCGGCAAACTCTGGGATCGCTGTGTCTGTCGGACACAGCTGATTACATGACATGTTAAGGGCCAATCACAGCACCCTTTTGCGATGTGATCAGCTATGTCTAATGACACAGCTGATCACAATGTAAATACAGTTGCCGGTTATTGGCTGCCCATTCCTCTTGCTGTCACAGTGTGAGGAAAGAGAAGAGCCGGTAATCAGCAAATGTATTTCAAGTGTAACTCCACCCAAAAGTGGAAGTTCCGTTTTAAGACTTTGTCCCCTGCCTTTTAAGGATTGGCACCTTTGGGGAGCAGGTACCCAAATTTGACAGGTACCCGCTCCCACTTCCGCTGCGATCGCCTAGTAGTCTCACCGTAGTCTTGTGGGACACGTGACAGGTTCCAGAAGACTACAGGGCCATTCTCAAAGCACAGAGCTTCTCGCGCATGTGCAGTGGGCACCCGGCTGTGAAGCCGCAAGCTTTCACAGCTGGGTGCCCACACTGAAGATGCCGGCGCCAGGGAGAGAAGACAGCCGGTGAAACCAGCAGTGGTGAAGACACTGCTGGACCAATTTTAAAAGTCAGCATCTACAGTTTTTGTAGCTGCTATATTTTATTTTATTTTTTTTCAGGTAGAACTCCGCTTTAAAAATCAGAGGCAGACCAGAGCTGCCCCAACAGTGTCTATCAGTGCTGCCTAACGGTGCCCATCCATGTAACCTCATCAGTGAAGGAGAAAAATTACCTGTTTGCAAAATTTTATAACAGAAACTAACAAAAAATGTAAAGTTTTGGCCCTTTTTTCCGTCTGTTTAGCAAAAAATAAAAAACCCAATGCTGATTTAATTACCACCAAAAGAAAGCTCTATATGTCTCAAAAAAATAAAAATGTCATATGTTTACAGTGTTGCATGAGTCGTTCAAATTGTGACAGTACTGAAAGGTGGCCTGGGCAGGAAGGGAGTGAAAGTGCCTGGTAGGCAAGTGGTTACATGAAAATTGTTTGTTTTGTTATAATGTGAGAAATTTTCCTGCTTGTCCCTTTGGATATTGTCACATGTACTGTTGTGATCGGCTTATGAAAGCTGTGTACTAACAATCAGATTATCGTACGATCGCTCTGAAAGCCATTTTTGTCATCTGATTTTCTTATCTTGTGTATGGGACATAACACAGGGAGTGTTTTACTGGCTGGATCCCCAGATGAGAATAAAGGGAAAAAAAAAACAAAACAAATGCAGCCACCCTACTTAACCACTTGCCTTCCTGAGGATTTATCCCCCCCTCCCTTCCTGATCAGGCCATTTTTTGTGTTACGGCGCTCCTCTACTTTAACTGAAAATTGCACAGTCATGCAACGCTGCACCCAAATTAAATTTATATCCATTTTTTTCCCCATGAATAGAGCTTTCTTTCAGTGTTATTTGATTGCCTGTGTGGTTTTTATTTTTTGCGCTATAATAAAAAGTATGACTTTTTGTTATTAAACTTGTTCAGTAAAAAATTTAAAAAAATCAAATTTAATCATAAATTTAGGCCAAAATGTATTCTGCTACATGTGTTTGCTAAAAAAAATCCCAAGACAGTACCTGTAAATTGGTTTACGTGAAATTTATAGCGTTTAAAAAATATATATATTGGAATTTCTTAAAAATAATTTTTACTAGTAATGGCAGCGATCAGCCACTTATAGCGGGACTGCGGTGGGCATTCTGACACTGGGGGGAATTGACTTGGTGTCACTGACATCTCTAGTGACACCAATACAGTGATCAGTACTAAAAAAAAAAAAGCACTGACACTGTACTAATGGCACTGAGCAGGAAGGGGTTAACATGAGGGGCGATCAAAGGGTTAACTGTGTGCTGTTTCACTGTAAGCTTTGTGTGTGTGCTTCACCGTAATCACACTGCTTTGGGTGACTGTGGTCTGCACAGCCATCCAAAGCAGTGTGCATGAGCTGACAGGGAGGAGAACTGTATTGTTTACATACAGTTCTCCTCCCCGTCAGAGATGCTCAGCAATCACTGGGCGGCGGGGAGTAATCACCAGCCAGGACCCGGTGATTGACAGCCGCAGCCGTGAATGGTGGTGCGGGTAGGGCGCGCGCGCCCCCTACCTGGAAATGCAAAATTACGTGTATATATACGTGATTTTGCGCACCCGTGCCACCCTGTAGTAGTATTTCTGCTATAGGGCGGTCGGGAAGTGGTTTGCGAATGAGTTCCGTGAATGAATTAAGGTTTTGTGGCTGTCGGCTTGTAGTTCTCAATAAACTACCATGGTGCTGTTGTAGTAGGTAGTTCATTGCAGGTAGGGGTAGTTCATTGAGTCTTCCTGTCAGAACATATCTGCTTGCCTGTACGATGTACAGATACACTGACAGGTGTGCAGCAGTCATACATGGCACCAGTGATCAGCAGATCGCTTGTGCAATGCTTTCCAGACTCAACAACAAAAAAAAAATAGTAAATGCACTTTTTTTTGTTTGTTTTTTTTACTTGCAAAATATTTATTTATTTATTTTCAATCAAACTTTTTTGTTAGTTAAATCCTTTAAATACCTTTTACGTTGAGACAAATATACCGGCTATTTCAGCATATGGATCTGATTATAGTGACAGCTTTATTCAGCTTTGGCTGGAGGATGAAAGTT